TCGGGTTGCAACCAGAGTCACGGAATGAATTAAGTTCGTAAACCGAGGTTCCACTGTATCTTTATTATGGTCACTGACCAGAATTATACACAGTATAATAGAATTGAGAAAAATGGACCCATAAAACAGTAGTGTTAGAATGCTAAAAGGTTAGATATGTAAATGTAATACTTTAATTATAATACTTATAATTAAATCCTAAGTATAAAACTACCTTCTGAGTGAAATACCAAAATCCTACATTACTTAGTTATTAAAATATTAAGTGCATAGAAAACTTCAAAAACATGAACATTTTATTATTCCAATCCATAATTTTTTATCCCATAATTTATAAAAGAAAGAGAAATAGAATGCCATCAATAACATAAATACTGTATATAAATAGAATTGCCAAATTACTCATTGCTCATTTGTTCTGAGTCTGAATAACAATGGTCATGTTTCATTTTATGTTCCTAATAATACAAGTTCTAAAGCAAAATTTGACAACTTTAAAAGTAACATCACCATTATGGTCTGCAAGGAGGAATGAGAGGTAGGATTTGTTTCTGCCAAGAAATGTACTAAAAAATAGAATTATATACTCAATTGTCACAGAATTGGGAGTAGAGCCACATATAATCTACAGTTTCAACTGCTTCAGAATGATCAAATAGTGGAACCTTATAAAGTAATTTTGGGTTTGCAGTCATATTATGATTTGGCTATTTCAGTGTCTGATACCTCGCAGCACATTCTTTCACATAAGCAATATATGACAAGACCCAGGGCAACTCTAATGGGCAAGACTCAATTTGTTTAGCTCCCTAGGAAAGTGTGCAAGTTTTTCCCCCCAAAAACAAAACAAAACCCCTTTATCAACTATCTCCATTTTTAATCTGCCCAATAAAATGCCAGACAAGGTTCTGACTTTTATTTTGGGGGAAGAGGGCACAGATATATTACCTGGGGGGTAACGGAGGAATTTGTAGGATTTCTATTGCCCTTCAACAAATTTCAGGCATGTGATCCAGTTCAGCAGTATTCCATTGTTCTGTTTCCTTCTACAATAGTTTGGGAATCTGAGTTGAAAAAAACAAATTCAGAAGAGGATTATAGGTTACAGGCATCTCTTGGACTAATACAAAAAAAAATGCAAAGTATCTCATAGCCTACAGGAATTTAATTAATGTAGACAAATCATGGAATAATTGGTTTCTTTTTAGAAACCTATTGAAAGTATAATCCTGCGCAGGTCTATTCATAAGTATGTCTATCAAGCTTGATTG